GGGGGGGGCTGGCATTTGAAAATTAATCATACTGTAATTGAAATGAGAAAAATAGCTATAAAAAGATGCACTTTTCTAAATACATTTGTAATCTTAAGGAGCAGAAAAATCTTCTTAACTCTTTGGGTAGTAGACAAAAATTGTAAATATATTGTTAAATGCTATCTGGGAAATAAAGAAAAAACCTTGAAATATTGAAACCAATCCATATTAACAAGAAACAAACTATCCTATCATGATTTTGAAATGTTATCAATATTGTAATGGGTTATAGATCTTAACGAAACTGCGCCCAGGAAGACAAACACTCAAGGTATAGGCAGCATAAAGCATTTCGCTAAAAAAGTACTGTTGAAGGCTGTAATAACAAGGCTTGTAACAACTTTGTGTAATCGTAGGTTACAAGACTTAGCTGTACTAACGTACAAAGTTAAAAACAACTTAGCTCCTCCTTATATATCTAATCTTTTTAAAAATAATGACAGCTAATATAACCTTAGAAACTTAGGGGACTTTGAAATGCCTAGATTCAATACTATTAGTTATGGGAAACATAGCATACGTTACACGGGTCCATATATATGGTCTAGGATTAGCAAGTCAGTCAAAGGAGCAACGTCACTTAGTGCCTTCGAAAATCAAATACGCAAACTAGATATTGAGGATATGCTTGCATAAAAGTGTAAGAACTGTAATTTATGTAGTAACTAGCTTATTTATTCATTTGTTGATTTATATATTTATTTATTTTTCTTTCTTTTGAGTTTACTGGGAAAGGTTAAGTGGGAACATTTTATATATTGGGTTAAGTGGGAAGGTCCAGACACATATACTGTCTGGGAAATTAGGGGTAGTCTCAGGGAAATATAGATTTTAGTAAATAAGAAGAATGGGAACATTTGGTTGTGAGAGACGGGATATTACTGTAAAGTAGACTAGTGTAAATATATAGGGGTTGTTTTAATTTAAGGGCTTGGAATACGGGAATAGCTTTATTGGTTCTATAAGGTCTTAGATAGGTGTCCCCAATTAGTTTATTTTGTAATAAGCTAGAACGATGTGACACATTAATAAATTTATTATTATTATTATTATTAACAGGTCACGTGACCCTACCCCCTGACAGAAAAGGAAAGAGCGCAAAGTTTCAGCTTATGACATGTAACACACGACATGTGACATGTACATGTAAGAAATGGCATTAATACGAAAACGAATATTTTATAAAGATTTGTATTGGGAAATGTGCTGAGTGCAAGCCTTGCCATCCAGCACATTTCCTCATACAAATCCTCATAAAATATTCCATTTTATATTCAATGCCATTTTTACTATAGTCAACATTATAAGCTAAAACTTTACCTTCTTACTAATATTGAGGTGCTCTTTCGATTTCTTTTCGAAATCATAAATAAAATCGATTAATGAAACGAGACGTGCTCACTTCCTTTTTGCTTGTTAAAATACCTGGTTATTACCATACTTCGGGAAAATTTCCGAGGGCAAATCAAATCATGCATGGTGCAAAGAAATTCGATGTGGCGTTACCGTCGTTTGCATTACTACGCGGCCACTCCAGACACAAATCGAGTCATGTAGTTTGCAATAGACTTCTGTCAATCATTCATGTTGACGCCATTTATACGTTTGGATCGTATCAGTGGGTTGGCTTTTCTGTCAAACTTTCTCAGTCAGATATCACGAAGGAAAGTTCCGAAAGCGATTGCAAAGGGTTTGAGTACATCCAAGTAGAACGAGGTGTTTGATTGACGGCAGTCTATTGCAAACTACACGACGCGATTTGTGTCTGGGGTGGCTGCTTAGTAATGCAAAACTGGAGTGTAAACTGGAGACAATGGAAATCCCAGAGCACCGAATGCATCATCGCTTCAATATTTACTTAACTCTAAGGCAGCCTTAGAAGTTATCAATGAACATGATTTCGGACAAATATGGTGCATTGATCTGTTGTAGTCCTGCAAAAAATCCGAGACAAATTATCGAGTTTGGCATGATCGAATATTTTGTGAAAGTGTCTGTAAAACCGCAAGAAGAGTAAACATTTTGTCAGATTTGGCGAGATCGCGTTATTGGATATTTACCTTACGGCCAAGGATTTTAAGACTCTATATGGCCAGAAGTTCCATTAGTTAAAAAGATACAGCCCAATACATGCAATAAAACAATCGCTTGGTACTTCGTAATCGTTTGGTTCGTGTAGACATTGAACTGACATTGAACTGTTTTTTTCACAAAAACTAAAATATCTTGATTATTCTTTTAAGTTAGCTCATTAAAAACGCCACAAGCCAAGAAAGAGTATTTACTTACCTTAAGATGCAGTTATGAAGTCCTAGAAGGAACGTGAAAGCGTTTTGAAAGCAGTATTCAAGCGAATTTTGTAGAGATCGTTGCACACTGACAAGAACAACAACAAGAACACGTGACTAACAGCAACACAGGAATCCCAACCGCATATACATTTGATCAGGCAGCAGGGTGGGGAGGGGGGAGAATTTCTGTTACGTCATTCTTAGAAATAATGCTGTCTTGAGGATTGGGTGATGGATGGGGTGATGAATTGGGTAGATTATAGGTGTAAGATTGGGTGTTAGATTGTGCCAATTGGTTGTAGCGGTGATCAAACGGTTCCATTGGAAAAAAATTGCCCATACATTTGGAATATTTGCTCTTTTCGGTCTTTTTCCTCTCTTTCCAAAGCAAAAGTTTGTTCTTAAAAGTAAAGTTATATAGCACAAGTAAACTGCATGACACAACATCCTAAAATGACCCTGTAAATCTTCTGTTCTTCGCGAACTACTGTAGTTAGCGTGTTTTCGAGACTACGAAGCCTAAGAAGCCATAAGAGGCCAATGTATAGGCCAACAGATAGTATGAGCTTATAAAATCAGCACAAATACGGTTCTAAATTTTAACAAATTCCTATGAATTATATACAAAGATGTTCAGGAAAGTCCGGGGTTTTCAAATCCACTTCTGTTTTTTTTGACAGGTTTTGTTTTATATCAAGGAGAGACGATTTTCTAGCTTGACCCCAGTTATGTCATGCATTTTCTCTTGTAAAATACATCCAATATCGTATATTCAACTCAAAACATACGGTGGTTTTTTTAAATAGAATTCAATCTAAATGATATAATACAGTCCGTGAATAGTTGAATTAACTGAATCCACTTCTGTTTTTTGCCTAGATAGTCATTATTTTGAGAAAAGATCCAAAAACCGTGTTTTTGAGACATAATTTGTATGGGCTCACATGAGGGGGCGTGAGCTTGAAATCGTAGCTGACCAAATGTTAACAGATTTTTTCTGATGCTGGGTTCTACTAAACTTAACGCCTTTAAACTTTTGAATCACTTGTTTGTGGTTGAATAGGCAAATGTTTGAATCTGATTGGCTAGATGATCTTCGCAAGTAATCGGGGACGACGTTTCTAAATCTGAAAAAAAACACATTCATTTAAACCAGGTCGTTTTTCCTCGAGGTCGAGGCTTTAGAAGCCGGGCCATTGTCGAACTACGTCAGTGGTATCGAGTGAGCACATAATAGCGCTGCATGAAATACGTAAGGGAAACGACACTCAATCGACCCAATCGAGGTGAAAATACGACAACAGTAAGAAAATACTGACGACAATATCTCGCGTCCAAATTTAAGGCACAGAAATGTGTTGGAATGAGCGATGCCGATGTCGTAACCAAGAGAGCATAGATATGACTGATGATCTCTTGACGTAGTTCAATTAGGTAATTGCAGGTGAAAGTACCGAGAATTATCTTCACAAACAGACATCCTCAAATCGAAATCCAGCAAGTGATGAGACACAGTGTGACACAGGAAGCAAACAGAGCATAAATATTTAAAATAATGAAACTTACACCAAAGTTAGATCTTCTAGAACTGAATGCCACGCCTAATCGCTATATTCATCAGTTGACAGAAACTTCTTAAGTTTGGCGGACCAATAAAAACGCGTGTAAAGCAGCCAATCGCAGTTTATATATATAATCATGCAACCATGTTGGGGGCCTAGAATAAGAGATATAGTGCTGACACGCAGTCTCTCTTAACCAGAGTAAAGTTGTGCTGCACACAGATCAGACTATCACACAGAGAACAGTTTTTGACCGATACAAGGTTGACTTATAACTCCTTTAAGTCGCCCCGACTCATCTGCTTAATGATTCTCCTGTGTTTCTGTGGAGTTGCATTATCAGAGACAGGTATGGTCATTTATTGATACTGTTATACTGAAAATACAAAAATCAATTAACCTTCTTTCCCCTTCGTTCAACTGTATCTGCAATATAAAATATTTTTCGTTACTATTCTAAACACAATTTTGAAACATTTATACAAATTTATCAAATTATGAATAGTTAACGACATGGAATCGTTTTGGAGAGACTGCGAATTCAGACGGCGCACTAAGTTAGGACGGTCGTGCCGAACGTCAAAAGAGTGGTGTAAGAATCAGTTTGGTACGGCAGACACGTTTAGTTCGATACCGTTTGCCGCATTATGCGAGACTGGAGCGACATCTGATTCATATGCTGCCCTTTTGCTGTACTTAATTCATAGATTAGGTTAGGAAACACGGGCCTAAGATTCAACAAGAAGATGTTATCAATTGGTTAATATGAATTGCCAGAATCTAAATAAGGTAAAATAATATGGGAACACGTTAGTCAGGTATTGAGCACCGTCAACATGGCGTTCCCTAGCAGCACTTATGTGCGTATATAAGGTTAAAGACATTGGCATACGCTGAGCTAAGATAGATCATTCGGTTATAGATGCTCGTTGGTCTATCATGCATCATGCATCATGCATCATCCATCCATCATCCATCATCCATCATCCATCCATCATCCATCATCCATCATCCATCATCCATCCATCATCCATCATCCATCATCCATCATCCACAATCCACCATCCACCATCCACCATCCACCATCCATCATCCATCATCCATTCATAATACATTAATATCTATAATCATGGATGCATCCAAGTTCTAAGCGCTGGTATCAAATCTGGCCTTAACGCAAGAACATGTCAACATATCAGATTGCAACACCAATCACCACTCCCACGTTGAAAGCAGAATTAACTCAAGAAAAGTCATCATGCTTCAGGCAAAACCAATACCAAAGTTCAGTATCATAGCAATGAAAGATAAAGAAAATGTCTAGATCTTTACAGAAGATGTCGTCACGATTGGTCGTCACTGCACTTTCAAAACATACACGTGATGAAACTATCGATCAGCGATGCCACATTTAAAAAGAGGTGCTCGTGCAGGATTCAGCCCTCGAAGCGTTTGGTAAAAAGAAACGCAAAAATGAAGACTGGTTTGATGCAAAGAGTTATATATTGCCGAGTAGCTGTAATAGCAAGCCAAATAACGAGTAGTGCTAACAGCCCACAAGAAAGACCATACCCTGAGCAAAGAAAAATTTTAAAAGCTGTGCATGTCAAGAGGTCTGATTAAGGAAACTGCTGTGTGCTATTAAATATTTGCTTCGGTGAGAGTATCCAAACTGTTGCTAAAGCAGGGCCACTATGATAATTGTGGAGGGGGTTGGCAATAATTCCCCCCAAAAAATCAAGCAAGCACTTTACCTACGAAAAAACATCGCGCAACCTATCCTTTCAGTAAAGAAGTATCCAGCAAACACAAAACAATTGCGTGTAGAAGTGGTTGCCAAAAAAAAGTCGTGCAGCAAAATTTCTGCAATCCCCCTCTCCCTTCAAATATCTTTTGGTCCATCCCTAACAAACTATAGGATTTTCCGAAAGTCAAACTGTCCTAATCAGGTCAGAAAATGTCAGAATTGTTGATGAGAAATGATAAGCAAATGGAATTGAAAGATGGATCGAGTATTTATCTGAGCTCTACACCACGGAGAACACGGTGAGCAATAAACATTACATACTCTCTTAACCTTGAAATGGATGAACTTGACATCAAACCAAGATGAACTATAGGTGAAGTCAACAACAAAGCAATTTTCTTTTTAGCATCCGACAAAGCTGCTGGAGAAGATGAGTTATATAAGACCTGTAAACCAACCATCCTCGCTGAACTCCAGTCCGTCCATGTTGAGTGCTGGAATCAAAAATGCAGTGCTTCAAAAAAGGAAAGATTCAGCCATGTGTATATATTTGAAAATAAATCTGTCGGTTTAAAAGGACGAGACGGATACAGAACAGAAAAATCACCTCTGCATGCTCGCATGGTAGACACGTGCACCGACCATGAGGTCCCGATACAGAAAAACCTTGCCGGAAGCGGTCTTGAAGTATAATTTTCAATGTCAAGGTGGCCCAGTTTTTCCGGACCGACTCATAATTAATATGGCCGGTAAATAACTTTTTTTCCTCACATTTACTTTTCTACTTGTTTTTCGATTTGTTTTGCTGTTTAGCAATTCTTTGTTCCAGGCAGAATACCGCAATGTAACAAATTGTGCGACTGAAATTTACGAATAAGATCTTGCCAAAAAAGTATTAGTTTCAGGTCACCCATCCAGGTACTAACTTCGCTCAACCGGCTTGACTCAGTGTCATTGAAGCGCACGCTTTTCCCACTGGGCCACGGTTTCAGGTGAATCAGCATAACAATAGCCGTTAAAACAATGCGCGGAATAGACTAGACTTTTTAACATCATTTTATTCACCGATTCCGTGCGTGGCAGAGATGCAAGGGATTAGCCGATATGGTCTGGGGGCCGGCTGGTCTCTCCCCTGATGCTTCGGCTAGAACATTTTCTTGCGTAATTCGTACACCCAAGGGCAGAAGGATTTAATCGCCGTCAGGTCCGAAGTCCATACGACGCCTCAGCTCTGCGGATGTCTCGGGGGTATGGCAAAGTGGGATCGAATTTTTAAAAAAAATTTTTTTTCGTTGGGTTCGATTCCCACCGTATATTTTTTAAGGCACATAATTTTGAATTTGGCACTGATATATATATATTTTTAAAAGCAACGACTGCTTAATTCCTGTTTGCTCATATTCAGTATTTCAACAGTTAATTGGTAACACAGTAACAAAGTCAAGGAATAAAGCACAAACCCACAATCTTTAAATCTTTTTCTGCGAGCTACGATAAGATAATAGATAGTTTTAGATTTACGTTAACGGCAAACGTGTAACGTTAGTTGATCATTTAAAAATCATTCTAAATAGCTTTAAAAGAATTGCAAAAAAGTCCAAGTAGCAGAAAAACAAAAGAATATTTGTCTTGGGTGAGAAGGTTTGCAAAAGGTTAAGTGAAATGTAGGGAAACGATGAAAACGTGGTCACGTTTGACGTTTGCGGGGAGAAAAAAAGTCAATCTAAAACTCTCTATTAGAACAGCAACAGCAGACAAACGTTCCTCGCATTCAAAGTGTCTCTCCATTCCGCCATCTTACTTTTCGATGAAAAGCGCATAAAAGTAGACGGCTAAGAAGGGACAGTTCTAACCCATGCAGACGCTAAAGTGGCGTAATATAGAGTATAGGCTCTTTACGGGGAGAAAATAAGAATGAATTGTATGTAGCCAATATTATAGAAACAAAATCATTAAATTGGTGTAATGTCTTTTTGAATAAAAAGGAATTAAACATATTTGTCTGAGGTTTGTTTCACAGTATTTGCGTGTTTCGCGCTCCTTGATCAATAATCGGGTTACTAACTTTCATTTCAATTCATGCGGAAAATAATACTTTCAAAAATACACAAATGTCAAAGTTCGCGAGCCTAGTTAGAAGGATGTCCTTTATAATTCAGAGTTCTATTCTCTTGAAAAAGAAAATTGAAAACCAATATGTTTCTTTTCCTAATAATAAACTTACTAATAAATTTTTTCCTTGATTTCACAGACATTCTCTTGGATGGTCTAAGAAATGCCTATTTCTCAATCAGTGGACGAGCTGGATATGGAGCTGGAGGTGTAAGTTATAATCAGCTGATTTCACATATGAAATTGATTGTTGATGCGTTTTTTTGGATTTTTTCAAGAGCTATTTAAACTAGAAAAAAGTTCTTGAAGGGTTGGTTTGTTACATGTTGCATACCAAGGCCTAACTGTACTATGGGCGATGTGGATACAATCAAACATGCAACATGCTACATGCAACCAAACCTTCACCATCCTTTTGTGTGCTTGAAATGGTTTTGCATAAGTAATCGCACGATCTCGAGTACAATTCGGAATTTATGGGTATACGAGTGATGTTTTCAAATATGTGTTGATAACTTTTAAAACATCAGAAATATTTATAAATTCCGAATTGTACGAGAAGATTGTGCAATTTTTTATTTATAATACACTCAAAATTGAGCAACTTAATTGGGACTCTACAGAGTACAGTTTGTATAGGAAATCGCACGATCTCGAGTACAATTTGGAAATTAATAGACACGAGTAATGTTTTGGAAGTTCTTATAATTGCACGAGCCTTTAGGCGAGTGCAATTAAAGAACCTTCAAAACATTACGAGTGTCTATTAATTCCAAATTGTACGAGAAGATCGTGTGATTTTTTGTTTATAGTTCACTCAACAAAATTTCAGTAAAAAATTCGAAGCGACGCCGTTCATCTTTGTCTATTTGGCGGCCGATTTTCAGTCCATCGTGCAACTGAAATGCATAAAAAAGATTAGTTCTTACGGCTTTAAAATTTTATTTATGGTTTTTAAGCACAAAATGATAGAAAATAATTGTTTTGACGTTGTTTTGGCCTTGTTGCCATAGCGACTTAATTCGGTACTCCTACGAAGTACAATTAACGCTCTAATTGTACTCCTCTCGACCAATCAGAGTCGAGTAATTTTGTTGAGTGTACTATAAGGAATTTAATGGTACTCCTCTTGCCCAATCAGAATCGCGTAATGTTGTTGAGTGTATTATAAGGTCATTAAGTGAAAGACATTTATCAAAAATACAAATTATCAAATTAAAGTATCTTAAAATTCAACTTTTCTTTTTTTAATTTTCGAGCTCTGCAATTAGAGTTATACTACTCTGCTGATAAGGATTTAAATTTTTGAAAGTTACAATGACAGCTATATTGCTAAGAGACCCATATGCATTCCTTTGATTGTCAATCTTTTACTCTTCAATAGAGTAGATGCTAGATTACTAGACTGACTATAGTAGATGTGGATAAAACTTAAACGAAGAATCTTACTCTTAAGGGATCGACACATGGTCTGAAATTGGAAATACTACGTCCAATGGACCAAATCCTCTTGGGCGTAATGTTTTGCCCGTTACAGACCACGTGTCATTCCCTTGAGGATAAGATTCTTCGTATATGAATATTCATGTGTCTTCTCATGTGCAAAAGTTAAACAAAGAAATAATACTCTAGGGAATGAGACGTGGTGTGAAATTGGAAAACATTGAATTAGGTCTATTTTTCAAAGATAATTTTCCAGTTTTTCTCTTCCCTTATCTTACCTGGTAGTAATTTAGACTTTTCCTGGTATTTTCGTTGCAGTGGTTTGGTTACGGTAAAAACCGATACGCAGTATGTGACAGCTTCGCGAGGACCAAGGAACCAACAAACTGGCTACGAACAGACTTTATCGACGTAAAAGATGCTATACGAGTTGACATTATAGTTAACTACACAGTGCGCAAATGCAGACCTGGCCAAACGTACTGCAAAGAGTATTTTAAACTTTATGGTTATCAAACATTGAAAACTTCCCCAAGACCAAACCCTTTGGTAACACCATTTGACTTCCTCGCTAAGGCCAAGCCAACGAATGTACCAGATCGACCAACACGACCTGGGGATTTCAATCTGTTAAAAGTTTCTATAAAGATAAAACGTAAGGGGTTATACCTTGCATTTTACGATCAAGGATCCTGCTTGAGTCTTCTGAGTGTTCGTGTTTCATTCAACTACTGCCCAGAAATACAAAAACGTCTAGTGACATTTGCACGAACTGCCTCGCCATTCAGTGATTCAAGCGCTGACCAAGTTGAAGGAAGGTGTACTGATCAACAGTCCAGGAATACTACTGTTCTGACTGCTACCTGCACGAGCCAGGGCAACTGGATGATAAATGATAATGTACGATGTTTGTGTCAACCAGGATACAGATACTCAAGTTATCCAAAACCACGCTGCTGTTAAGGTAAGAATGATATCACTAATGCTGTTATATATATACGTGATAAACCTTAATAGAGCGTTTTCACATGACGTAATAGCCGCCATATTAGTGTACCTTTGACAATAACTTTGTCATTGGTTTCTTTTGTTAGGTACACCAATATGGCTGCCATCTCTGTTGTCAGACATGA